TCAAAGAGAGGTAACTTTTATCCATTCACTTTCCTAACTGCTTTTAAAATTTAGGTGCCTATCCCACCTCTCATCAGGCAATAAGCAGAGTACCCTCGACAGGTTATCGGTCTACCAGAGAGCTAACAAAGCTCAAATTCTCACATTCACACCAGTGGCCAGTTTAGAATCACAGATTAACCTGACATGCATCCAGACTAGTACCAACCTTGAAATTTTAAAGTTGTTTAACAGCGTTCATTTTGAAAGTTGTCCAAAAGCTAGAATATTAAAAATGCCTGACAAAGGCCTTAAAAATTCATTAAGTAAGCAACCAGAGCGAGCAGCTCCCTAAACCACGTCTTATTATCGATAAATTCAGCATTTTCAAAAGAAGACTGAGGCTGTTAAGCTAAAGCTGAGCTCTACTTTTTGCCTCACCCTCAAGAAACAGCATCTTTATGCAAATTCACCGAGTAAGGCTGAAGCAATGAATTGTGAATTTTTAAAATATTTTTAAATATATGTATCACACATTTGGCCACATGCGATTTTTCCTACTAAACAAATTTTCAAAATGACGTGTTCTTACTCCTCTGATTATTTCTAGATTTTGTTTTGTTTTGTTTTCAGAGTTTCAAACTGGGCGGCACGACACGATCAGGCGTCAGAGATCTCAGGGTCACACCTGCTTCCCTGGCTGTGTTGAAACTCTTTCTGCCACAGGTTTATATCAATAAAACCTTTTGTAAGTCTGCTGTGGCTCTTGTAATTCTATATTAAAATTGCAGTCAAAGCGAGGAAGTGGTTCATTAGAATTAATTAGAAATTTCAGGACATTCTTTCTCTCTTGCAATCACCTCTATCTTGTAATTAGAGCGAGTGGTGGGAGGATAATGCAGCTGTGCTGTGTAGAGGGCACCAGGGAGCAAGAGAGATCCATGAGATTGCTGCTGAATACTAAACAAACTTGCTCTTTCCATGTAACAAAAGAACAGATGTCCTGTCTGACTCTTCTGTTAAAGAAGCTTTTTTTAATGTGTTTGGGTTCTTGCTGTCTGTGGTTTCCTTGAGCTTGGCTCTAGGATCCAGTAATAAAACCAAGATTTGGAATGGTGCCTAAACGCTTTAGTCATTTAGATCATTGTTGCTTTACTTGTGTGTCTGTTTAAGGACTGAAACTCTGAATTTTGAACTCTTGGGAAACCGTGTTTATCCCTAACCCCAAACGCATTTTTGGTGGCATGGATTGGCTCCAGGGCCACTGCAAATCAATATAAAGTTATTCTAAGTGATCAGAGGTCACAGCCACAGTGGTCACTGATTGGGTCAACATATAGGGGAGATTGTGGTGCCATTAAAACGTCAAATGAGTAAATATATTTTGGGAGAATGGTATTAATCCCTCCAGGAGAGATCCAGACTCTTGGAGAATCAGTTTCACAGCACACTTAAAAATTTCTTCCTAAGGCATGTTATTATTGGTTTTTCCATTAATTTGTCAGCCAATGTGTGATAGTGTCCAGGCAGACTGAGGGGTTCCTGCTGTTCCATTTTTCAAACAGGCACGTCAGATCGGTTAGTGATAATACAACAAAGTAATAATCTTGAAGTGACAGTGGCGAGCACCCGTGCAACCCCCCAGTCTCGCTGCATAAAGGTCAGCTACCCTCAGTCGCAGAACTCCAGTGGGCATTTGGCACACAGTCATGGTGGGTAAGCGACAAGCTCGGCATTGACAAGCCTTTTCCTAATGAAGTGCCTGTTATCTGCAGCCGGAGTAATGACATGCAGGGGTGTGCTGCCAGGAACGCTTCTACTTGCCTTCACGGGGCAAAGGAGGAGGAGGAATAAGACAGACGGCTGACTGTGGGTGCTCAACCTTCACCTCAGCTGACCCCCTCATTAGTCACTGTGAGCACTGAGACTTGAATACTAGGAAGACTTCAGTCAATTAGATTCAGGCATAGACACGAGCTGGGTGTTTTTTTTTTTTTTAGATTTGATTGCTTTCTTTTAGAGGCTGCCCCCCCAAAAAAAAACAAACAAACAAACAAATCCATCAAACTAGTTATAAACTAGTTCATAATGAATTCAAATCTGTAATTGCGACTAACAATCTAAAGTTGAAACACCAGAAACGCAGCGGAATTAGAATTAATTTGCCTTGATATTTCCAGCCCCGATGGATATGAAAATACCAATATTTACCGTCCTAGTAGGCCCGTTTGGCTTTGAAACAGCACTCGGGGAAAATATCTGGCCTTTTTGCTTCTAAAAGCTTTCATCAACACACAACTGTGTTGTAGTTCCACTGAATGGCAGTAAATATTAGCAATAAGATACTAAAAGCTTGCAGACGAACATTGTGATCTACCAGTGGGCTTCTTTTATCTGACCTACATTTGTTGTAAAAATAAATAAATAAATAGTGGAAATGTAAGATTTGCTAGGGAACAGCTTTTTTTTTCTCTGCAGAAGAAGAGCTTTTCACCAGCTTGTCTCTCATTTTTTTCTTATTATTTTGGGTTTTGTGAACAGTGTCCATAGGATTTATTAGCTGAAAAGCATTACGCTCTGCACGTAGACACTGTACAATATGATGTGTAATTTGTAATGCAACTAAAGCAGTGAAGTTATGGTCTAAAGCAGCGGTCCCCAACCCTTTTTGCGCCACGGACCGGTTTATGCCCGACAATAGTTTCACGGACCGGCCTTTAAGGTGTCGCGGATAAATACAACAAAATAAAACTAGTACTGGTACCGAAAAAAAGAAGATTTATTCATAACACACGTGAAAAGACCCAGGAAAACAGAGTTAACAATAAAAACGATAACAAAATAACTGAAAACCGATAAAAACCCTGAAAACCATATTTCACACCTGAGCCTCAACTCTTGCGGCCCGGTACCAAACGACTCACGGACCGGTACTGGTCCGAGGCCCGTGGGTTGGGGACCGCTGGTCTAAAGAACCAAAATAAGATGAAGATAAGAAATGTCAAGCTGAGTTTTGTGTGTCACAAGAGTTGCTCTCTTTTTTCTCTTTTTTGCTCTCTAAGTTCCACAGTTTCACCGATTCCTTTATTTATGGTAAATGGTCTGTATTTGTACAGCGCTTTACTTGGTCCTAAGGACCCCAAAGCGCTTTACACTATACACAATCATCCACCCATTCACACACACATTCACACACTGGTGATGGCAAGCTACAGTGTAGCCACAGCCACCCTGGGGCGCACTGACAGAGGCGACCACCACCAGTAGACAACAGGTGAAGTGTCTTGCCCAAGGACACAACGACCGAGACTGTCGGAGCCGGGGCTCGAACCGGCAACCTTCCGATTACAAGACGAACACCCAACTCTTGAGCCACGATTGCTGTGTTTACAGCATGTTTTAAAGATTCTGTGCTGGAATATGTTTTATACTGCTGGAACTACAGCTACAAGAACACAGAACACACACCAAGAATACCCGTTCAATCAATGAAATTTTGCTTTGATCTGCAGACAACCTAAAGCTACTTCCACATCTGCTTTATGAGGCTGTGGTACAGCAGAGTTTAAATGTATCCAATTTAAAAGTTAAGAACTCTAGTGTGCAACCATCACCTTAGCATTAAGCAGCAGCACCGTGTGCGCACTGAGCAGTAAAATAATTCACTGAAACGTTAATTTCCAGGATTATTATATGTTCTTTAGATTTTTTTTTTTTTTTTTAAATTTAGATTTTATCATCGTCATCTGGTAAGCTCTTTGATTGGAGTAGGCGGAGCTCAAAGGGGTCATACATCAAAGAGTGATATGATGTGTAAAATGCCCATTTATATATGAGTGCGCACAGAGCCTGAAGGAGAGAGAAATTAAATAACCACCATCATTATACCCGTTATCTCCAACTAGAGGTTTAGGTGTAGTGGAATCGCTAAGTCAAAGAAAGCCTGACTTGGTTTGTTTTATACCTTTCTGGACTTGAGGTTTAGGCTTGCAAAAGTTCCACATTAAGTCAACCCTGTGATCTTGTACCTGGCCTCATGTTTCCCAGTCAGGGTGGTAGTTGTTGAGCAGTGACAGCACTGGAGTAGCCTTAGGATTAATGGTGCTGTCTTCCCGATATTGATTAATCACCAACCTTTTAACCTCGTCACATTTACTAGGCGTATGCTCTGATGTAACGCGTTAATACCACAGAAGCCGAGACACTGAAGTGTCGTAGACAGCTCAGTTTCACATGCTTAATTAAAACTTTTTAAATGTACTTAACCTCCTGCCATTTAAGGATTTTGAATCTGCTTAAAATTTCAGCTCTGCTATTTGAGGTTATTTGAGTTTAGCTGCTCAGTTCTTCTGTATTTCCCACGAAATATGCCATGATATTGTACCGTATGTCACCCATGCACTCAATTATTACCCTGCCTGGCTTTCTGTAGCGATGCACACAGTTGTAATAATCACTTTTAATGTATTGGCAAATTAAATCTGCAGATGTCTGCAGTTGTGTAAAACACTTCCAGTGCTAAACAATTATACTGAGAAACTCTCAGTTTGTTCTTTTGCTTCTTTCCAAACAGCGTGTTCAGAAAGAAAGTCCCCCAATCATCATATTTATTCACTGTTCACTCCACATTTTCCCCCTGGTCTTCAGCGTCCCACCTGTAGTGGCTCTATGCCCCACCAGTGGGCCCTGCTGCACAGTTTGAGAACCATTGCTCTGAGGGAAGCTTCATTGTGAGACTCAGAAATATAAGCAAACCCGAGAAAGACCTCATCACTTTTAATCCTTTCTCTTTTTAAGCTGTGTGATGGGGTTTATTCCAGACACTTCAGATGGCTCTGGCTTCGTATTAATATTAGATGAATCCAAGATATATCTGCTGGAGTGAGCAAAGCATTCTTCTAGCAGGAAATATTTCTCATTTTAAAGGCTTAGCTTTTCTTGGCTGAATTTTTTTGGGGCCATGTGCTCGAATATGTGATTTGCTGCTTTTGAATTTCAGTTTTTCTGCTCTTCTATTGCAGCGGGATGCAAAGGGACAATATCTGTTTGACCTCATCTGCCATAACCTCAACTTACTGGAAAAAGACTATTTTGGCATCAGATATGTGGATCCAGACAAGCAGCGGGTAAGTGTTTACATCTGTGAGTGTGGCAAGAGGTTTTTTGTGTTTATACTAATGTGCATTTCATTTATGGTTTTCTTAGTGAGGTACTTTTCACAAAATTAAAATCTAGTCTGAGAGAAAGAAATGCTCATCCTTGAAATACACAATATCATTAAGGTGAAAGGCATCTGTTTCTTCCTGGAGGTCAGATGAGATTATCTTTAATTAGTCTCATGTCTTTGCACGAGCTTTGAGTCTTGATAGAAAGTTCAGCTAATGCCTAATGGGCCCATTGTTTTACTAGAGAGGGAAATAGAGAACCAGTTAAAGTTGAGATGTTAAAAATTATTTAATTTACTGGAATCATAAACCTCAAATATTTAAAACGTTTTCTATAAATGGTAGTATGTTTGTGTGACATGAAACTCGCCTCATCTGAGTCACACGTTAGTCTGTTGCTAAGAAAGCTGTATTGATGTTGAAAACCTTTGCATTCCTACTTTTTGTGCACATAAAAAAAATGATCAGGGGACAATAAGGGGATTGGAAGATGATCTGACCTTAATAGTGCCAGTGAAATGGTATTAACATCCATCCGTACTTCTTATATGTTATGACATATACATTAACGTGTTTGCGTTAGTTATTGTTAAATTGAAATTGTTCATAAGAAAGGAAATTTTCAGCTCCTCAGACAATTCCTCCTTTGGTATTTTTGAATAAAATTGAAAATTATCTATCTTATTTATATAGCCTCAGGGGAATATATATTGTAATTTGACAGAAAACCCCAACACTCAGACAACTGTGCAAGAACTTAGTGATAGTGAGCGACAGTGGGACGGAAAAACACTCTTTTAACAGGAAGTAGCTTTAGGTTCAGAGAGAGAGCATCTGCAGCAAGTGATCGGAGATGAGAGAAGGGAAACAGGAGACAAAACAGTCTGTGGAAGAGATCCAGAGATTAAGAATTACTAATCATTAAATGCAAAGTGGCTTATAAACTCAAAGTGGGTGAAAAGAGGTAAATGGAGAAGAAACGCTCAGTGCATCATGGGAAGCCCCCAGCAATCAAGGCCTATTGCAGCATAACTAAGGGAGGATTCAGGGCCACCTGATCCTGCTCTAACCATATGCTTTATTGAAAAGGTCAGTGTGGCAGGGTGTGGTTTGTGGCTCAGCTGCAGGGGAGGGGTCGAGCAGTGGGTTTAGGGTGTGGTGTCAGGGGAGGCCGGCTCGCACACCTGACCTCATCACCTAATCAAGTCTACCCTGTTAAGGATGTTGCTGGGACTGGAGGGGTGAGCGGTGTGTGCTACAGAAATGGGGCAGCTGGAAAGACGGAACTTTAAAAACTGGAAAATAAAAGACGCTGAAAAACTGCAACACTGTGGTCGTCGAGTCCTTCATTGTCACAGAACGTTTTAAGCCTAATCTTAAAAGTAGAGAGGCAGTTCCTACTTCTGGTGAAAGAGTATATAGTCTTTGAGTTGAAACTAGAGTGCTAAGTTTTTAAACTGCCTTGTTTTATCTCTGGCTTCCAAACTTTTAAAAGCAGAAGCTGTTGAATGTGAACTAAGAGTGACTTTTTTGCACACATTACTGTGTTGCGTTGTGTCAAAACGACGTGCATGCCTGCAGTTTAAAATTTGAATGTTTTTGATTTAGAGCGAGATTGTGGTCCAGAGTGAAAAGTTGTGTTCTTCGGTGTCTCTTACTCACGCCACCTTTCAGACTGAAGGCCGTCCCAACAGGCGCTTCTGCTGTGAGGCATATAGTTGCACTGCTGGATTCATGAAGTATTAACATGTTCACAGATCGTGTTGTAGCTCTTCAGACAAGAACCAAGTTCTGCTGATGCTGCATTTCCTATGCTGTCACTCAGGGCTATTTTGGTGGTTGTTGCTGTGGGTGGGTTGGGTTGGCGAGAAGACAACACCGGAGAAAGATGGAGAGAGAATACGATTCCAGTGAAATGCAGGATCTGAATCTCGCTCTAGAAACACACAAGTGTAGCCACCAGAGCCCGGTATTAGTATTATTGTCATGTGTGTATTTTATTAAATTTTATAATGTAACGTGATGATAATAATAATAATAATAATAAAAGATCATCAATGTGGCATATTATTTAAAAAATGCAAATAAACAAAACAAAATTAAAGTCTGATTTTTTGGGTAGATAAAATATTACCAAAGCTGCTGAAAAATGTTATTATGATTATTAGTATTTAAATGAAGTATTAAAATGAGATATATTTCTATTGTTGAAACCACATTATGGATCAATTTTAATTATAATAAAATAAAACTGTCATTTGTGTTGCTTTTCAAAAATTCTCTTTTACAAGTATAATTTATTTTTTCATCTTTTGAGTACAAGAGTGTAGCTTTAAAATGTTTCTGGCTATTCCTGCCTGCTCAGCCACATTTTTATGCACAAACTGTAAACTTTGTTTAAACTGCTTAACTTGCGGTCATTAATTTATTATGTCAGATGACTGAATAAACTAATTGAAGTATTATTCTATGGAGTAAATCAGAGTTATATATATCTTTGAATGCTTTAATAAAGAATAAACATTTAATATTAAAGGGAATGGGAAACATTATCTATTACTTTTCCATAATTATTTTATTTACCTGAAGTATTTGATGATGTCATTAAAGAAACCTCTGGAAATTCTTTAGGTTCAATGCAGCATTCGCTTATTGCACTGATCAATCTGTACCGCTCTGACACTATACATGGTGTTAGCAGGTTTTCCCACGTAAAACTGTCAGCAGTAACAGCTGATGTGTGGATTACTCTCAGGGGATGTTTGTGACATTTGTATCTGTCTGTTTTTCTGTCAAATGCAGCATTGGTTGGAGTTCACAAAGTCAATTGCAAAGCAAATGAAATGTAAGTACTTCAGTTACTTTTTGTGTCTTTATAATTAAGCTTTGAAATTAAGTTGGGAAATCTTTTAAAATCGCATACATTATGTAGCAATATGATGTACATTTGATGTAGCAACAGAAAAAGCTAGTTGCTTAGTTTATTAAATTTAAGTAATTTAATGCAATGAAAAAAGATCAATAGTTATTTGTCAGTCTGATCGGGGGAATGTAAACAGTTTGTTCAAGTCTGAAGAACTGTGCTTTACATTTTAGTCATTTGGTCTGATGTATCAGTTGTATTTCTATTGTTATGTTTCTAATAATTAAATCTTTGCTGCTTCCTTGTTCAGGTTACTCTATACAATGTTTTTATTATCTCAGTAAGACTTTCATCTGGATAAAAAAAAAGAGATTATTATAGATTATAATCTAAGTTTCCTCGTGGAAACCGTTAAAAGGAGGACTTTCTAACAGTATTTTTTGTACAATATTGCATGTAGATCTGAATATTTCTCCCAAAAAGTCTTCTGCCTTGTATAGTTGAAGAGGTTATATTTTTATGGATGAATGCAGTGTAATAATAGATCACGTTAAATTCAATTACCGGTATTCAACCTGTCTCTTACTGAGGAGTCCTTTTAAACAAATTTTGAAGATTAGAATTGATAACAAACTCTTGAGATGACGAGTTTAGTCAATTTAAATGTCCAATTAATTAATTTACTCATCAAATTGAATTACATAGATACACTGATGGACAACTAGCGTATATTTTCCAACAGTCATGCTGAAGAATAATGTCCTTTCCTCCACGCAACACAATCATTTAAAATTCAGTCTTTTGGTTAATGTTAGATTAATATATTAGGAAAATTGTTGGTTGATTTTTTTATTTTTAGCAGAGTTACAGAGTGTATGCATCGATCAAGAGACACAAAACACCTGTCAGATTTCACGTTTCTGCTGATTGTTGGCAATTATTGAAGTTATCCTCGCACATGTCTCAAATATTTCCTGTTTGTTTCCTCCAGCTCAGCCTCCGTTCACCATGTGTCTGAGAGTTAAGTTCTACCCTCCTGATCCTGCTTCTCTCAAGGAGGAAATCACTAGGTATGACCCACTGTGGTGGCTTTCACTTCAGATGAGTTGATAAAGGCTGTTTGTGTTTTCTTGTTTTTCTAAAGCTAAAGTTTGCTAAAGAGGGAAAGAAGAGAGATGGCAGCTGTGCTGGGGCGTTGTTTTGTTTCTTCGGATTAGATTTGTGCTGTGAAACTTCTAGACTGAGCAAACATGCCTCTTTCTGAAACATTATTCATGTGCCTTCATAATTAAAATGCTTGAGCACTTTACCGTCTAAAACGTTATGATGAATATTACACAGAACACCATTACAGAGGAATGTAACAGCCTTCTCTGGCAGTGCTGAAAGTTAATGGTTGGAAGATTAAAAGCAACATCATGCAAGATTTTTGTGCAAACGCACACATTCTCCATGTAATAATCCTCTTCAAATGTAGTCCTGTCTTAATAACGTATCACTTTAAATTGGTGAAAGTAACACTTTCACTCGGACCGAACAGCTGTGAGTTCACACGGCGTCAGTTTGCACTTGTATTCATTACTGACAGGAGAGAGGTCCGCTCCGTCTCTCTCTCTGCTGTGTAATAAGATGCATTCATGTTTTCTATTGTACCTAAAGAATAGATGAGTAGATGAGATGGGGGCAAAGGTTTCTAATTGAAAGTGGAAATGAATTAGAGAGAAAGGAGTGAGTTCATGGTTATTATTATAGTGCAGTGGGCAGAGCATGGTGCAGACCACAGACAAGACAAATAATCAGTTGCATGCTCATTCACTGCGTACGCCCACTCATTGAAATTGGACTGTTTGGACACTATGTTAATACCAAATTAAATTCAAGGCAAAATAGGCAGCTTTTTGATAAGAGATAAAAATACACTCACCTGCCACTTCATTAGGTATACCCTTTCAACTGCTTGTTAAGGAGCTATTTCAATAACTCAGTGTATTTCAGCAGTTAAGACGACCCGCTGAAGTTCAAACTAAGCGTCAGAATTGGGAAAAAATGTGATTTAAGTGACTTTGAGGATCGACTATCTTGTTTTAGCTCATTCCGATTGATCGTCTCATTTAGTGTTTGACATTATGTTGACATTAGCTTGTCATTTTTCAGATGCTCATTGTTTTTAGAGTTTTCAGCTTTAAGTGACTAACGCTGCCTTACACACAGTGAAACTGGACTAGATTGCTTTGAGCTTGACCAGCCCGGTCTGATTAGTCTGGATTTCTGCTGTAACATCCAGATCAGAACTTGGTGTAAACAACATGAAAGGATGGATCCATACTGCCTTGCATCACCGGTTCAAGCTTTTGGTTGTGGTGTAATGGTGTAAGAGGACACTTTGGGACATTATGGGCCCCTTAGTGCCAACTGAGCGTTGTGTAAATGTCACACCTTACACAAGTATTGTTGATGACCATGGCCATCCCTTTATGAGCCCGTCAGTATGGACCTCTGTGTGAGGAATGTTTTCAGCACTTTGTTGAATCTATACCACAGTGGACCTTATGAAGTGTCCAGTGAGTGTTATTTGTAGTTACAGGTTATCTTTATTGCAGCATGGTGTTGATTTTCACCACCTACAATAAAACAAAAAAACAACAGCAAAAAGAGCAAAAATGGGAGTACCAGATTAACAACATGGTCGGTTGAATTTATTTTGTAATAACAGACTGGTTTGACATCAGCCTACAGTTTTATTTGCCTCCTGTTTCCTTTTTGGTTTGTTTATTGATGGCAGATGTGAGTCCTTGTGGCTATTCCATGTATAAGCTAATGCAGTGGCGTTTCAATGTCCATTATGCAGAACTGTTCTTTTAGCACAGTTTGGTATGGTTATGGTTATAGCATCTCTCTTCACCTGTCTGCACTTCTACTTTGATTCTAACTTACTAAATATAGGCAATATTTTTTATCCCAGTAACATCCTTGACATCCTTCTTTCAGCCCTTTATAATCACGAGTGAAAATCTGCTATTATGTATAAAAGAATTAGTTGGCTATGCTCATTAGTGCTCATATCAGTGTGCAGATGTTTTGAAGTGTAATCAAAAGATCAGCAGCCATCAGCACCAAATAGCTGGGGATGTTGTTGTGCGTGCAGTTTACTCATCATATTTTTAAAAGGGTCTGTGAATCTGCTGCCATGTGAATAACATGGGATGTCTCCATTTTAAAAAAAACAAAAAAACATTGTGGAAATGTTCTAGACACTAAAAAGAAAGCAGGTCTTGGGGGTTTTTTAGTGTTTTTTCACCTCTAACTATAACAACAGTAATGATAATGGTAGTAATAATAATATTCATCTCTACTATTATTCATCATCATCTTTGCTGCAAATCATTAAGGTTCGCGATTCAGGAGCTGATTGGTTCGATGAGCCTGAAACTAGGCAGGAGATTTTAAGAAAAGCACAGCGGCATCAGTAGCAGCTTCTCCCTCGGGGTCTTTCTGCCATTATTTCACCCAAAACAAAACCCTCATTTCAACTAAATCAAAAAGAAATATTCAAACCACCCATGGGGAACACGAACACAACATGTAGCCTTTGCTCGGGTTTGCCATGCCTGCTTGCTTCATCGTTTACCTGCTAATGTTCACTGAGAAAATCAGCTGTATTTATGACCAGTTTTCTTATAATCAGTGAGAGCAGCTGACGTGGTTTTTGTCCTTTGTAGATATCTTGTCTTCCTGCAACTCAAGAGAGACCTCTATCACGGTCGGCTCCTGTGCAAAACCTCGGATGCGGCTATGCTGGCTGCCTACATCCTTCAAGGTAATGAAAAGTGACAGATGGAAATTACTTGTACCACTCTCTGCTTCTCACTGTGTTCTCAACCTCTGTTTTACTGTGCCTCATAGAGCACCGTCCTGATAAACACCACCAGCCAAGCAAAATAGATTTTCTGAGGATTTTTTCACAAGAACGAAAAATACTCCTCAGAGAGTTCCCTAACGTGATGCAATGAACTTTTCGCTCTATGTGATTTAGCAAACTACTCAGAAACAATGAAAGCTTGTTCTGTACCGTATGATAATTACGTCAGTTGCGAGGTAATGAACAAGAAAATCGCACTCTGTTATAAAGTCTTTGAAGCTGTTATCTGGCATCTTGTCATCTTTGAACCACACACACAGTCTCAGCTGGCTTCACAGGGAGGCAGGTCCTCCTGAGGAGGATGGCCTGATGAATTAAACATAGGCTGCCTGGTCAGCTCCTCTTTGCAGAGAGGAATCAACGTCAGGGTCATCTAAGGGAGAACAAAACGGCAAGAACCACAAACAAATCTGGCCATGTTTAGCCCGACTCCCCTGGCATTTAAATCTAACGTCTATCTGATATGAATGTCTGTGGACATGTTTAAAATGTAAATCTTTTTTATTTTGTTATTCCCCCTCCAGCTGAGATCGGTGATTACGACCCTGGGAAGCATCCTGAAGGTTATAGCTCCAAGTTCCAGTTCTTTCCTAAACATTCTGAGAAGTTGGAGCGAAGGATTGCGGACATACACAAGACGGAGCTGATGTAAGAGCCAAAATATATGACCTGCAATCGCTCAGCCAAAAGAAACACTAGACTTGCTTTGACATTTATGTAATTGACTGGCTTGATGAGGTATCAATGGTTTGCGCTGGGCTGGATAGACAGATTATCATCTGTTATTTGAGCAGATAGCGGAGAAAAGCACTTAGACTGTAGCTTGCCCTTTATTTGAACAGTTATTAGCGACGGGTCCTAGCCACAGCATTAACCTGATAAGTAGCAGTGAAAGTGATCTGATGGAGCGGGTTCATGAAGAGGCACAGGAAAAAACACTTTGGAGACAGCTGCTGAGCTGATTAAGCATTTCATTCATTCATCTGCATCATTTTTAAAAATGAATGAATGAGCCACTGTGTTATCTTGCATTATTTTGAGGTTGTTTAATAGTTAAAGGTGTCTGGAACAAATAGGGGGCAAGTAAAACAAAAATAAAAATCAGTTTAAAGAAATAATCTGAGTCACAGTAGAGATAGAATTGCAAAAGCCTACTTTAGATGCTGTGGGAGGACAAACCATATGAGACACTGCTGCCCACTAGTGGTGTGTCTTTTACTTAATACCATGTAAGCACAGAGCTGCCCTGAATACTTAGGTTAATGTGACAGCCAGAAAGAAGCTGACATCAATAATAAGTGTTTCTTTTTGTTTTTTGTCATCCTATAGTTTATTTGCTTCAATTGATCTTGTGTTCATATTTGATCTGTTTGGGCGCTTATTCATCTTTACCTCTTTTAGTCTCACTAAACGAGTAGATCTCATTATTGGAAATGTATTTGTTCGTTCCTCTCTTCCAAGCCTTTTCACATTTAGACATCTCGATATTTAATTTTTAATGTTTGTGGTGGACTGACACAGAAAATCTCTCTTAGTGGACAGAAACCTGAAACATCAGAGCGAAATTTCCTACAGAAAGCTCAGATGCTGGAGACGTATGGTGTTGATCCACATCCATGCAAGGTTGGGTGGCATTTTTTTAAAATTACTATTTTGCTCTCTTTAGACATGTTGTAAATGCTTTTCTGTCCATTTTGAATGGTTAAATATTCCTTTGGGATCCTCTTCGGTTTTATGTCATTAAGTTTTATTTTGAAATTGTTTTGTGTGCTTCAGGATGTATCTGGGAACCCTGCTTTTCTCGCCTTCACGCCGTTCGGTTTTGTGGTGCTTCAGGGAAACAAGAGAGTTCATTTTCTCAAATGGTGAGCCAAATGTGAAACATTTTCTCATGTGAGCCAATCGCAGCGCACTCCTCGAGTACTCAACTCACAGCAGATCTGTGAGAAGACAAGCATTTTTACTGCGGGCCTTTAGTTAATCTTATTTGACATACATGCTTTTTATGCAGAGTAATCTACATGAAACAGCGCGTGCACAGCAGCTGGATGTACAGTCACAGTCAACAGAGCGACTCCATCTGCCTCTACCTGTGACACGTGCCGGGGGCTCGCATGAACACAGATGGCTAATTACAGCAGCTAAACTGCAAACTAGATCAAGAAAAGATACTAGGAGCTTGTACTTGCAGCTGATTTGAGCTTAATTTAATTCAGGAAAATGCCTCATTGGTTAAATGAAAGCCTACACAGCATGGTGCATTTCTGTTAAACTTTTACCTGCATGCTTTTAAGTCAAGAGGTTACCGTCATGATTATGCAGCCAGACTTATTATGTAATATGTTTGCAGCATTTAGGCTAATGGCTTTGTTTGCTTGCCATCAGCAGCACTCAGATTTCCCTTGCTCTCCATTCCCTGTCTGCAGGGAATATTAACACTTTTTTATTTTGGCATCCAAAACATATCTGTGACTGTTTATACGAACTATAATGAATATTTAAAGAGGCTGTGGCTTTGTGTGCATTGTCTTTCGGACAGGAACGAGGTGACCAAACTCAAGTTTGAAGGCAAGACTTTTCACATATATGCAAATCAGAAGGAGGTGAGAGCATGAATTGTTGGAAAAAGCATATTTTGATGACAGTGTGTCTGTAGAAAGTTTCCATCAGAATTTGTTATATTGTCCTGCACGCCCACTTATTTTCAACGTGCAGGACAAAAAGATCATCTTGACATACTTTGCACCCACACCGGAGGCATGCAAGCACCTTTGGAAGTGTGGAGTGGAGAATCAAGCTTTCTATAAGTAAGTCATTTAATTGTTCTTTTCAACCTTTCATCATGATGTAGTTGCTCTGACAGGCAGGGTAGGATTATGGTACCTCAGTATCCTCAGAGCACTTCCCTTCCTGGTTGTTTTTCAGCGAGAAAATGAGGTGTGAGCTGCTGCTGACCTGTAGTGAACGACTGTGCACTGGCACGAGACCACAAGCACTTTCGTGCTCCTTCTGAGATATGGATCCCCTGACTTAGCCATGAGTAACTGTGCGAGTCTCCTCTGTTCTCTGCAGCCCAGGAATCATGGTTAACAGAAAAAAAACCCCCAAAAGCTCAGTGTGTGAGCTCAGAGGCTCCCAGCGTGACCCTTTCAATGACTCCCTGAAGTGGCAGACTGTTAATCTCTTATCAGCCTTCCATTTATTAAAATCTTACTGTTCTTGGAAGTCTGTGGGAGCAAAAGAGGACACACGATAGAAGCAAAAATATCCCTAGAAAGCAACATGAAATATTAAATATTCATGTCTCACTTAGTATGACAATATAAACATTGAGTCCTGTATGGAGCCGTGTTGAGGATGCACTGCCCAAAGTGCAAAGAGATGAGATGCATAATTTAATAAAAAGAATATTTGATCCTAGTTTCTCGTTTGTTCTGAGATTCAGAAAACAAAAGATCACAGGCATTCGGGGTTTAACTGTGTGTTCGTATTAGGGTCATATTCTCTCTAGAATATATGGGATATTGTCATTGCTTTCCTTCTTGCTGTCTTTGATTGAATGCTTTACTTTTACTTTTTTGTTTTGTTTTTCTCTTCTTTTCCTTTTTCCATCAGGCTTGAGAAGTCAAGTCAGGTTCGCACTGTGTCCAGCAGCAACCTATTCTTCAAGGGCAGCCGTTTCCGCTACAGGTAGAGTACACGACAAGGCAATATGACTGATGACAGGGAGGGGAGGACACTGCAGAAAACCCCCAGCTGGAGTGGAGAGAAGTGTTCCCAGAAGACTTGGCCCTCCTGGCCTTCTGTGCTTTAAAGTCAGGGTACCTTTGCCTGGAGGAAAGGACTGACACCTACCAAGACAGAGGACACAGAGGGGGAAATGAAGGGGACTGATGTCATGACACGCTTTTTTCTTTGGATCTGTTTTAAATCTATATTACGACATAAAAATTACGGAATATTTAGATACTTGCCAGCCACTTTATTAGGTACACTGTGCTAGTAGCGGGTTTGATTCCCTTTTGCTTCTGTTTTAAATCTTCATGGCAGATTCAATAAGGTGCTGGAAACATTGGAAATAAGGTTTAAATGATACTTAATAAGTACCACGGGGCTTAAAATGAATATCCCCCACAACATTACACCACTGTCGCCGTTGGTACGCAGCAGGATGAATCAATATTTTCATGTTGTCTACACCAAATTTTGAATCTACCTGCTAAATGTCTCATGAGACATTGAGACTGATCAGACCAGGCAATGTTTTTCCAGTCGTTTGTTCTGAGCCTGCCCAAACTGTAGCCTCGGTTTCCTGTTATTAGCTGACAGGAGTGGCCTGTGTGGTTTTTCTGCTGCTGTACCCATCTGCTTCAACATTGTGATGTGCATTCAGAGATGCTCTTTTTTTATACTTTGCTTGTAACGAGTGGTTATCTGAGCTACTGTTGCCTTGCTATTGGCTCGAAGCAGTCTGGCCACTGTCCTCTGACATCAACGGGACTTTTTTTCACTGGAGAACTGATGCTCACTGGGTATTTTCTCTCTTTTAATCCATTCTCTGTAAACCCTAGAGATGGTTGCGTGGGAAAATCCCAGTAGATCAGCCCGTCTAGCACCGACAGCATTCAAAGTCACTTAAATCCCCTTTCTTTCCCATTCCTATGCTCAGTCTTGACCATGCCTACATGCAGTGAATTTAGATATTTGCGTTTGAACAGTTGAACAGGTGTACCTAATTAAGTGGCCAAAGAGTCTAGTTTATTACTCCTGTCTACATTAATCTAATTATAATTCTTGTATTTTTGTTTATACTGGTTTTCAGATATCGATTTTAAGATTTCTGACTCTTTAGTTTGTAATGAAAAATTACATTTAAAATTTGTCTCTTTTTGCAAACATTGTTCTGTTTAAATCTTCTTTTGAAAAGTTATTAGTAAAGCTCCTTACACCAGCGATAAGGAAGCATTTTGGCCATAGTAGAAAATCTTAAACTCTAAGAAAATAAACTTAAACCTGTCTGCATAAATACAGCTGAAGGAATGTGACAAAGCAGTCATAGAGAACTTCTGGGTCTGCAAAAGAAAGCCAATGAGGAAGTGCCTTTAAAATGGCATTTCAATTTTTTTCTCATGACCAGAAAGCATGACACTCCTCTAGTTGCAAAAAAAACAACAAAAAGTATTGAGTTTACAGAAAAGCCTGCTTCTTAATTTATGACCTTTTTATAAAAATTTTCATAATGCATTTATTGTCTTAATCACCAGTTTTAAGTCTTGGTTAATACAACATCATGTTCATTTTGTAAATTATAATCCCATTTAGAAAACAAAGGAGTGTGTATGCTTAAAAGCATGGCTACTTTTAGATTGACCTCAGTTTCTCAGTGACAAGATGGCGAAAACACTCGAGTCAGTTAAATGTGGAGTTCACTTTTAAAGGGCAAACCATGATCATTGTTTTTATATTTTTTGCCAAGAAGTCTGTGTGTGTATTTGTCTTACTGGGTGTAATTCAGTTACAAACTGCTGAATTCACCAGGACAAAATCAATCATGATGCTCATCTACTATACTCATCCACTGCAGTTATAGCTTTCATAGCATTGGGTGAGACCGTGGTGGGTGAATGGTTTTGTGCGTGTGAGCGTGCGTGTATGTGGAACTCATCCTGAGCATCGTCTCTGTGCTTTATAACAGTGGGCGAGTGGCAAAAGAGGTGATGGAGCAGAGTGCCAAAATCAAACGCGAACCTCCAGAAATACACAGGTAGAGTTATGAACTCAGGAGAGGTCAGAATGTTTGATCACAATTTTCTTTAATTTCCTCCATTTTCTTAGGAACCAAGCTACTGTAGATGTCTTTATATCAGCAGCGCCTACTGGCCACAGTACCTTCACTCACAGCTCAGATGTTTACGCATTCCTGTCTGTGTTTGTCTCTGCAGGGCTGGCCTCGTGCCTAGCAGAAGTTGTCCATCCATCACCCACGGGCCGCGGCTCAGCAGCGTACCGCGCACGCGTCGGAGGGCTGTGCACATATCTATCATGGAGGGTAAGAACTGAGTTCCTCACTATTACCGTACCAAGTGCCAGGGGCTGTTCACTTGAATAACTGACACGCAAAATTTGAAATCGTCAATATGAAGATCTAATCTCGATCTTATGGGTGAGATCCTCCTCTTCTTGAGAAATTAAAAAAAAAAAAAAAATGCTTGTACACACAAGCACATGATGTAACTAGAGCTGTTTGGAGCAGTCCATGCTGGTGGGACGTGCTGCAGGTGTGTGCGTCCGTCAGCGTGCCTCACTTCAGTGCAGCATTTTGGAGATGTGTGTATGTTTGACCGCATGTTGTGCCAACACTGTGGCAACTAAAGTCACTTATTCAGCCCACCTGCAGGCCTGCTGGCCCTGAACAGGTGGCTTGAGTGTTTCTGTTATCTGAGATGGACACAGCAGGTGTACACCCCTTTTGTGGGTTAGGGTTAGACCTGGTCTGCCTGCCTGGCTTTTAAGTACATACCACCACTCAGTGGACTCAGAGGTCAGAAGCAGGTGTACCGTCTTAGAGGGTCTTTTGCTGTGGGTTGAAGAAAGCTCCCCGCACCCCTCCTCACCCACCCACCAGTGTGTGTGCTGACTGGGTGACTTGCAGCGGTATTAATACGCCAGCTGAAAATAACCTGGGTCTTTTACTCCATTTATGTCACTGGGTTGGGTGGGGCCAAACCAGGCCAGGCCAATGCTAGTGATTGTAGTACTGGTGTAGGAACCCACTCTTTCACCTCCGCAACTAAAGCAGAACCCTTCGGCCTAACACAAACACACCCTGTGGCCTGGACTCTGGAAAGGGACCATAAGGACAGGATAAGCACGCGCACGCTGCAGCCATGGTGAAGTGTCTGATCCGCATCACCACACGGGTGAATGTCCACCTGCGTATGATCAATCATTGCTACCGGGATGTGAAAGTTCGCGTGCTGAGCCTGGGGCCTCGACTGCTGGGGAAGGCCCTGGGCGTCCTGCCCCTCTACCCTGCCCTGACTGGGCTGCAGGGGTCTGACAAGATTACCCCTCTTTCTGGCGCTTCGCTACCTTCCGTTCAGCCCAGCAATCCTCCAGGTAAACTCACCACAGAACCAGCCAGGAGTGTGCTTTACATGGACTGGCCGGTTCTCTATTCTAAATTAGTCTCTGCCTCCTGAGCGAGGTGAAAGTGATACAAGTCCTGTGGTCTTCTGCGCTTCCAGCTTATTGGACAGGCAAATTTAAGTCGCTGTTGTCATATTTCAAGAGTACAGCACGATAATGTGGTGTGTGTGGTTTCTGTAAAAGTTTTATTATGCTAGAGTGTTCAAAATTTAGAGCTCTAAATATGGCAGATACAAATGGCAAACACATTTTCTACTCACTGGCTCGCTGCTGTAAGCAGAACACAGGATAAGCTGAGGCAGATCTACTCTGAGTAAAGATAGCCGCTGACATTCACACAGCCTTTATGCTGCTTTCTTTTCACTTGACTTAAGTTTCATGTCCGCAGAGGCTTAGGTGCCGGGCATAATCTGCCCTACTTTCTTACAGTTTTTAAAAGGTCCTTTTCGTGTTGTGCTTCCTCATCAAAAGCTGATTTTTAATCCCTTCTCTTTATAGTAAAGGTGTAATGTTGCTGCTTTGACACTGTGGGGAATGTGATTACGTCAGCAAAGATCTCAGCAGCTCGTCTTCACTGACATCTATACTGTGCCTCTCTTGTACTGTACTATGACCAGTTCAGCTGCAGTACTGTATATCTGGCTCGTCTTTGAACCTCTGTTCAATAGTTGCTTGTAGCACTATGGGATGATAGTGTTTTTAGTCAAGTAGCAGCTCTGCTACTGCTAATAAAATGATTTCACAAAAAAAGAAAAATATCACTAGAATAACAGAAAAACTTACACAGATAAGAACCAAATTTCAAAATCAGAGTTGAACCTCAATGTGAGTAGAATTGAAATGAAATCAAAATAAGAATAGAAAAAACTCAACTGTGGGAAATGTGTAGCAGATTAGTGATTTTGACCCAGAAATGGTGGGTTGAAAGAAAATAGTAAACACACAGTAGGACTAGGAGTCGATCATTAGTAGAAAACCATAGTCGATCAGTATAACACGAAGTCAGTTAAACTTCGGGGATATCAGTCTGTCCAGTTAGGAAACAAAAACCATTTTAAATTCTGCTTTGGTGCAAATAAAAGAGACAGCAGGTGCAGTGGGGAGGCAACAACCAGGTGCCACTAAAGAAGGTCTGGACCTCATGCCACCCTCATAGAGTCTGATTCTGGTCTGGAAACATGCATGAGGAGCCTGCTTTGAGTTCATTTTGTATTGCTCTGCCAGTGGTCCTCCTGGGCCTTGTCACCGAAATGAGAAGATACCACTCCTGCTGTTGGGTTGATACCCTTCACTCTCCAACCCTCTTTGTGTAAGAGCCCGTGTGGGTTGTTTGCTTTGTTGTTGAAGGATATATACATTACATTTGGATTGGATTCAAAATGAGTATGTTAGTAATGTTGGTAATATTGGAATTTCAAAGAGCAAAACAAACAAACTTTATTAGTGCTCATTTGTGTTAATGCACACTGGGTGGAGAGGAGGATCCATATGATATGTTGGCCATGGTTATTTCTATAGTTTGTGTAGACAGACTTTGAAAACACATCTCCCCCTGGGACAATACAGACACTCTAAAATGATTCACATTAACTGCTTGACTGTGGAGAAAGCGTGATCAAATTTCAGCTCTCAAAGTGGAGCCTGTGTGTCTGCATGTCGTAACAGACCTCTGCTGGTCAAACAGAAACCTTTCAACAGTACCAGAACTACAGTAAAGGGTGTGTGTGAGTGCCTCATTAGATGGAAAGTATAACTGACCGCTTACTTTAATAGTAACAAGAGCAAGAAGAAGAACAACAACAAGAACAAGTGAAGAAAAAGTAATTAAAACATTTAAGAGGAGTTAAAAGTTAACATATTAGGTGTAGGAATACTCACAGCACAATGAGGTTAACGGTGAGGAATAAAGAAAATTATAATTCAAAAAACAGTTAAATTAAAACAAATGTGAGGAAGAAGTTAGATGTGAAAACTATGGATGATCTATTCCAGGGATAACATGTGGAGAAAGAAAAAACAGGAGAGGGCCGAGGACAGATCCCTGAGGAACTCCACAGGTCATTTTCATTAAGGATGACTGTGATTTGCCAATGTCAACACTAAAAGAGTTATCCTATAAATAAGAATAAAACCACCTTAAAACTGACTATACCAGAGATGCCAACCTAATGTTGGAGACCATTCAGTAAAATGCAGTGAGTCACATTGTCAAATGTAGCACTCAGATCTAATAAAATACTTTGTATCAATAGGTAACTTCACATCTGAGCAGACAAGCATCACATGTGGAGTTCCCCAAGGTTCCATCTTGGGACCCCCTCTGTTTAACATTTACATGCTCCCACTGGCACAGATTATAAAGAACAACAAAATAAACTATCATAGCTATGCAGATGACACACAAATATATATCACAATGTCACCAGGAGACCGAGGCCCTGTACAGGCTCTTGGTAAATGCATTGAGGAAATTAATGACTGGTTGTGCCACAATTTTCTCCAACTAAACAAAAACAAAACTGAAGTAATAGTCTTTGGCGCCAAAGAAAAACGATTACAGGTCACCAGAGAACTTCAATCTATACATCTAAAAACCACAAACCAGGCGAGAAATTTGGGTGTAGTGATGGATGCAGACCTAAACTTAGAAAAACACATTAAGACAATAACAAAATCAGCTTACTATCATCTCAAGAATATTTCAAGGATAAAAGATCTGATGTCTCAACAGGACCTGGAAAAACTAGTCCATGCATTCATTTTTAGTAGGCTTGATTACTGTAACAGCATCTTTACAGGTCTACCTAAAAAATCAGTCAGACAACTACAGCTCATTCAGAACTCTGCTGCTCGTGTCCTCACTAAGACCAAAAAAGTGGACCACATCAGTCCAGCTCTGAGGTCCTTACACTGGCTGCCTGTCCGTCAGAGCATAGACTTTAAAGTTCTGATGCTGGCCTATAAAACTCTGAATGGTTTAGGACCAAAATACATCAGTGACCTCCTGACCCAGTATGAACCTTCCAGATCCCTCAGGTCATCTGGATCCGGTCTTTTATCAGTTCCCAGAGTCAGAACCAGACACGGAGAAGCTGCATTCAGCTTTTATGCTCCTTATATCTGGAACAAACTCCCAGAAAGCCTCAGATCAGCTGAAACACTCAGTTTATTTAAATCCAGGTTGAAGACTCACCTATTCTCAGCTGCATTTGAATAAAGCACCAAATCCACACTTTTAAGCTTAAATTTCAAAACTTACACTAACTACTGATCTTATCTATTTCTGATTTTATCTGTTTTGATTTTATATACTGTTTTGTTTGTTTGTTTGTTAAGTGGGTTTAGAGCTCTGGGTAGCTCCCCAACTGGGTCTAGACTGGGTCTAGAGAGTATTTTAAATTCAGGGAATTTAAAATAGAAAGTAGCTCGTCCACAGAAGGACTGGTAGCTCCCCTTACGATAAGGGTTCAGATCGCGCGAACAGGTGTGAAATGTGTGTGTTTAGTTAGTTTGTTTGTTTGCTTGTTTTAATCAATTTTAAATCATGCTTTTTATTTGTTTTTGTTTCTAATGTCTCTGTAAAGCACTTTGAATCACCTTGTTGTTGAATTGTGCTATACAAATAAATTTACCTTGCCTTGCCTAATAAAACTAAAATAGGATTTACAAGCATCAGCAGCATCCAACAGATATCACTCTGGGGAGTCTTGTCTCTGTGCTGTGGTTTCCACTAATTTCAGTTAAAAAGACCAAAACTTGGAGTGACAGGCAGGTTTGGAAATTTGTATAAAATAGTCTCAAAATTATTCACGATTGTGCCACTATCATAAAGCCCCTTTATAGCCAAGTTTATATAAGTTCTTTATGTCTAAAATGTGTGTAATATTTCCTACTTCATGTGATTCCCTTGTTTTATTTCCTCTTTGAACTCCTCTGCAGGTCTGGAGTCCTTGCGTGACAGTGCCCACTCTACACCGGTGCGTTCAGTGTCCCACGGGGAATCCTTTATACCACGCTCCCGGAGCCAGGTCGCAGATACCAGCGAGGGGATGGCAGTCATCTCTGACGAGGCCTACAGCCCCTCTGACAGCGTCCTGCCCACGCCGGTGGCTGAGCACAGCATGGAACTAGCCGTATCACGCCAAATCAATGGAGCGCCCTGCAGCATTGAGGAGGAAAAGGAGTCGGAAGCGAGCACCCCTATGCATGGGGAACGGGGTGATTTTGGTGCGGACAGTAGATCTGCACAGGAGGGCGCAGGGGGGGACTCAGCCCTCAGCGAGGTGGAACAGGTGAATAAGTTTGTCTTAAGTGTCCTCCGTTTGCTCCTTGTGACCATTGGACTCCTCTTTGTGTTGCTCCTCCTCCTCATCATCCTCACCGAGTCAGACCTTGACATTGCATTTTTAACTGATATCCGCCAGACCCCCGAATTTGAGCAGTTCCATTACGAATACTTTTGTCCCCTCAGGCGGTGGTTTGCCTGCAAGCTCCGCTGGGTGGGCGGGTTGCTCATTAACAAGTGAGAGTGAGGTCGTAGAGTCCATAAACCTGTTCGGGGGTCTGACAAGACGGTTAGGACTCCGGAGTGATGGAGGGCAGCCTCGTCCCAACCATGAACCCTGCTTCTCTCATCCTCCTCCTGCAGACAGACATACAGCTTGGACCACTCCTGGTAACACCGGGCCAGGATCTCTCTCCCCCTCCTCCACTTTAAGTTGCCCTCACCCACTCAACCCCCTCCTCGTTTCGCTTACGTTGTTCTTTTTTTCCTTTTTTTTTTTTCTACAAAAGCCAGGACACCTTTTTTCTGCAATTTTTTTTTTAAATTTTAAGCCATTTCAGGTATTTTATTTTTTCAAATAAAACAAAGGAAAAAAAATTAAAGAGAAAAGCAAAGAACTAAAGGATTTTAAACAGTTCCTTTTACCGGAACAGAAGATGTTTTTTTTGTCGCAACAGATGAACGTTGCCTTCGTTTCTTATTTATTGCTTTTAAACACGATTAGCAGAAGGAGAAGGGGTCGTGAATGGTGATCAAGGAAGTTGATTTTGTCAGTAAAAGATGAAAGTGAGTCACGTCAGAGTCAAAGGGCCTTCTGCTGTGAACCATACATGAGTCAAAGTGGTGTAATAGCGCTTGATATCGATTCATCCCCATCAGAAGTTGGCAGCAGATTAACCTCATTAGAAAAACAAAGCAGTTTGACGGGAATAATAGTGAAGGCGTGTGGAATGGAAAACGGGAAGTGTGGTTAATGAGTTTTTTTTGGGAATATAGAAATTATCGATAGCTTAAGACACAGTTAGACTTCAGTATACATTTGTATACAAGGTTCGCAAGGTTATTTTCTAACACTTTATAAAGATACGGTGAAATAAGTACCAATACCTGTAGTGTTATTTTCCCAGTAGTGTCAGACGTGGTTAGAAAAACGCTCACAATGAGCAAAGATTCACTGGCACCAGTAGATGATAGTCTAGGTAGATGTGCAATGCTGACATGGTTTTAATAATTAAGAACTTTGAATGTGCTCGTTGGTTCAGTTCTTTTGTTATTTCTTCATTTTAATTTGATTTGCTTTTTTTTTTTTCATCACGTTGAAATTCGATGAATTTCAATGATTTCTTTGTATGAAGAATTCTTGATTTATTTTGGTTTCATATCAACCTTGCTCTGACTATATTATTATTATTGTTAGAATAAGAGTAATACTGTACTTTTTGTACAAATTAGTTTGTTTCCTAATATATATTGACACGTTTTCCATGTATATTTTAACAGAACTGAAATGTTATTTTGTTATTGAGATTAAATTATACCTTTTTTAGCGCTGTAAGGTCAGAAGCATTTATGGAAAGATGGAAGGAGGTCTGAAAAAGAAAAAAGAAAAAACAACAAAAACAACAACAAAAAAACAACAACAAAAAACAAACAAACAGGGCTTTTATCCAGATCCACTCAACACTAATCATGCCTCCCATCACTCCACCAGCAGAGTGTGTGCAACTTTAATGACCGTTTAGATTGAATTAAATCTGGAATGTCATTGTACCACCAATACTAAATAATTCAAAAACATATGTCCGACTTTCATAACTTTATCATATCTTATTTTACTTGAAGAATTTGGAGAAGTGACGGAGCCTGACTGACTGGATCTACGTTAAAGGGGACCTGTTTTTTGATATTTAAATATGCTGGATTCTCATGTTTAAGATAGTTGAGTATACAAATGTGCAAATAATCCATGTGAGACAGAAGCTCAGACTTCAGGCTGCTGACAGTTTGATTTTTTTTGTTTTGTTTTGTTTTGTTTTTGGGGGTTTTTTGGACCCTTGGACCTGCATGATGTCAGTAAGAGCGGATGTCCCTAATATGGTCATGTTTAGGCACACAGTGCTGGTTGTGTGCGCACATAACCACCACTCACCTGATGGGGTGGGGGAGCTGAAATAGCTCATTTCAGACAGAAGATAAGCTGAAGGGCTGCACTAAAGCACAGAATGAGGTAAATAATAATTATTTTAAGCTGTTTTTCATGCAAAGCTACTCTTAAGGATATAAAAGGTCCTCTTAAAAAAACAAACACAAAGTAATTTGACATTCTTAAAAATTTAACATTTAAAAAAAACTAGGAGGCTGTTTTGATAAAATGAATATTGCATAAAATTAGCTACTATTAATGCAATAATTATCTTTTCTCTGCATTTATAAATACAGTATCTGTTGGTCAGATTAAGGAAAATCGCACTGAAACAATAAATTAATCTAGAATTAACTAATGTGAAACCAGAAATCTCGACTTTGGTGGAGACAGACTGCATACAGGAATCTTTTCTTTATCTGGAGTTTTATATCAGATAACATCTGCTCCTTGATGTCTTGGTCAGGCTTGAGGCTCTTCCGTCTCACAGCTCAAGGGAGCAATAACTGTCGCGGCTGCTGGATTCTGGTTAAAATCGGGGGGGTTGTACCTCCTGCACCAAATGCAGGTGTATGTGTTAGTGTGTCATTATGTAGGAGTGGAAGCAAGATTCATGGTGATGGAGTGGAGGCTTGGACAGACTAAAGCAGAGAAGGAGGAGAAGTGAGAGGGGTGACGAGAAAGAGATGTAGAGAAGTTCTGAAGGATTAATTACCATGTAAATTCGAAATTGAAGGCTGATCAACGGCTGTACAGGGTTAATGTTTTCTTTTCTTCTTTGTTTTCTTTTTTGGTTTTTTTACACACACCCTCCTGCAGCTGCTCCACTAAAGGCTTGATGGTGCTACTTGATTTGTTTGCTCCTGTGTAATCTGAGCATATAAGTCCTCGGCTATGGCCTGACTGCAGACAGAGTAGCTTGCACACTGGCATTGTGGCTGGATCCACTCCTTTGGCTAATTGTCTTTCACAGGCCATAGTTATCTCTGGTGGAGGTAACAGCACTGACATTTCTCAGCACAATGCTAAAAGGAAACATGGAATCAATACAGCAACACTAGCAAGAACGCTGTTGATGTAGGAGCTTATTTAAGTGAAGAAAAGAAAAAAAAGCACATTTTTTCCTACCAGGGGGTGGAGCGGGGCGGGTGGGTTGACTTTTTTTGTGTACTTTCATACTTCATATTTATTACTTTTTCACTGAGGTCAGTATGACCCTTTAGTCCAGCCAGGCTGCATTGTTGTAGACATCTTTTTTTAAAAGTGTTCCTTTTACATCTCTCAGCATTATGTAGCTTAAGCGGTCTCTCTGAACATGCAACAATTTAAAAAAAAAAAAAAAAAAAAAAAAAAAGGCAGCATTATTCATGAAGCAATAAACAGCTGTAAGAGCAAAAAGTATGAAAAACATGTATACTAAGATCTAATGATGACTAATGTTTGATGAGCCAAATTTATTCGCCCAATTTGCTGTTGTGCTCACTCAAACAACGATGCTTGGACTCGAATGCTTAGACGCTCAGTTACCTTTGCAATCAGTAATCACAGTTTCTAAAATGGCATTTTCCTTAGAGACCTCTTGTGTGGATGTTTGTTCTGCTGTTTTCTGTTGTTTCACTGTTAAGCAAAACATTGCTCCCTGTGCCTGGATCCTCACTCTGCAGTTTACCAAAGTGGCAAAGATGAAGGAATGGAGACAGAGAGGCGCGACATCTCTTTCGGCTACAGACTTCTCCATCCTTAAATCTCCCAAACCAAGAGGGGAAAAACACTTTTCAGCTCTGTCTTAGACTCTAGTGTTCAACAGGCAGGCAAAACTCTTTGCAAGCTTGTTTCCTGTGACTAACCTGACATTACATTGCAGTTGTGGTGCCACGTTTCCATTTTCTGCAGTTACTTTACTTCATGGGAGATGACAGAAGCTATATCTGTCATTTATGGTTCATAAGGAAAATTGGCTTGTTTGTACTTTTTGAAAAAATATGTGGTTGCAGTGGAAGATGAAACATGAATTTTAGTAAAAGTAAAATACACGTGATGAGAATTAACCCAGTAACATAAGCTGCATGGATTTAAAATGCAATTTCATATGACAGCCAACCACCAGATTTCTGTAAACTTTTGATCGATTGTTATGAAGGCTGTAACAAAAAGATCTTAAGTTTCATGCCTGAGGTTGCTTTTTTTTCATTCTACTGGACTGCACTTTACTGTGACGTGTTATGTTGTCTACATATCTGAGTCATTATTAGCTAAAACAGCTAAAAAAAATAAATTTAAAAAAATAATCAGAATTTAAGATTTCTGTTGCAATCACTTAAACCAACTTACCTGACCACAATTAGGTGGTTTGTTCTTAATTGGCTTGATTTCCTCCCTGGCCAGAGCCCCTGTCACATTAATGTGAATGGTGCTTTTCGCACTAAGGGTTTAATGAAACTAACCCAAGACAGCTTGCTCTGCTTTTTGCCCTTTGCTCGCTCCCAGTACAGACCTTCACATAACTGTGCATACACGTCAATGAGTGTATATGCATATCCATGTCTGGTGGCGTGTTCTCTAGTCTGCCTCATTCTATCCTCAGATCGCAGATTGCTGTTTAATTATGTTAAATATAAAAGTATATATACATATATATATATATATCTCCATGTGCCAAATCCAGTTCTTGTTCAGTCTGATCCATTCCAAAACCAATGTTTGTACTGTAGGTAACCTTCTGTACAAGTCAGTATAAAATATTGTTTCTCTCCAATAGTCCCTTGTAACTGGTGCCATTAAATAAGACACTTCAAACTTGAAATAAATGTTAAAAACGGATGCAGCTGCTCGTGTGGTTTTGTGTAAAAACAAAACAAGTTACATCGATACTCATGAATAAAATTTTAATTTATTTTTATTATGAAATAAGATAAGCACAAAAGTGCAGGGAAGGATTCCATCCACAGAAAGCAAAAATGTACAACAATATAAACATGCGATAACTGTACAGAAAATGCAGTTTTAGCTGGTCCAATATGAAGCAGCAGCTTGGTGGATTAGAAAATTAGCTTACTAGTCTACAAAGTCAGATACGGGATGGAGTCCTAGCTCAAGTGTGAAAATACTGGCTTTAAGAACGGACGCTGGCTGCTTTGAGGCATCGGGGCTGCCAATAATCCTGGTCTCCTGGCTGCTGATGCATCACCTGCTGAGCTCCTGGACCCTCGACCTCCACCCCTGGAGCTGGAGGACGACCAGGATTTATTGCTGCTGTAGCCACGGCTAAATCCACAAAAATCACCACAGCAAGACAAAAGAAAGCAAAAAAGAAAAATAGTTCAGTTACAAGGGACGCCTATTGGCAAATATGATCCCCAACTGGATGATGAAATGTGAGACAACACTCTACAGACCCTTTAGAACTGGAGCTTGTGTTGCCACATCCTTTTTTCTTCTTGGAATACTTGAAGAACGGAGCCTTCTTTCTCTTCTGTCCCTGTGCAGACTTATTACGGAAGTAGGTGGAGGATTCAGTGTCATCCTCATCATTTCCACGAGTGCGACCTCGTGCCGTGTCTATCCACCCGTCGCCTCCACTGTCAGCCTGCTCCTCTGATACACAGAAGACATTTAACTTTATTTTTAAATTCACACAAATTGTGTTAAATTAAAAAAAAAAAAAAGAAAACTACAGGCAACCACTAGTGCTAGTGGTCAGCCTCCTCATAGACATGCCAAAATCTTAGATGTCTTGATCACATTCACAAGATTTTAAGAAACCTTGACCTCTGACATTGAGGTCACAAATTTAAACTGGTCTGAGATTTTAAGTAGATACAATTTGATATAACTGGAAGCTCCTATGCCGCCTCATTTTCAAGTTATTTTATTCACAAACTCAGGTGAACATTCTGCCCACCTGCCTGTTAGCACACCATCATGTGATTCAAAAAGTTACAATGTGCAAAACTTCAGTAGGATCTCTTACCAGGTAGCTGCCACTCAGAATATTTCTGTAGGACCTGAATGACTTCAGCTCCATACTTGTCCAGTTTATCTTCTGTTACACCATCAATTTGCAGGAGGACTTCAGGGTCAGAAGAAAGCTTTTCTGAATGTGACAAAAAGTGTGTTAAGTTATAAAATGTTTGCTTTTGAAATTAAATAAAAAGTTCTGTGTCTGAGAAGTTTAATTACCAGCTATCTTTTTCAATGTGGCAGTGGAGAAAATGTTGTAATAATGAAGGCCAAATGCTTTCCCCAGCTGCTTGCAGAGATCCAACAGCTCCTTAAGACACTCCTGCACCATTGCCTCTCTCCGGGAGACGTTCTTCGCCGTGGCAGCTTTATGTTTCCTGATGGTGGACGCGCTCTCAGTCTCATAAAACTCCACCTGGGAAATGATGAGAGCCAGTAGTGTTTTCATTGACTGGCAGCACTTCATTGCATTTTCCTACTCTACCTCTCTTCATGACACTTAAAACGATTGGTGTACAAAGGGCTTTAAAGTAAAAATGACACAAATTCCGATGTTTTAGCATATGAATTTCTAATACACACTGCAAGCAAATTAAAAAGCACCAAGAAAAACAATTGATAATTGATTTCATCATGCCTGTCAGGTCTGTAAAGGCCTTAAACGCTGATGTGCGACCTCTTACCTGCATGTGTCCAGACAGCACATTCATTGCTTTTGTTCCAGCGGAGATATAAGACACAGCTTGCCCACCATTGGTGATGTAGAGGTCTTCAACCAGGACGTTATCCAGAACCAGCTTTTTAAAAAGACGGTCAGCATTGTGTCTGGAGTAGGCTGCTCCAATGCCAAACATTCCTGTCTGTACCTTGGCAGCTTTAGAGCCTGACATAAAAGAACATTTACAGTTTTTAACCACACATAATTCAAACAACTGTACTGGGAATATCAACTTGTCTAGCTGCCAAATGCATTTTTACTGCTTGCTTGTGTATGTACTGTACCTATGAAGATATCCACAAGCATGTTGAGGGTCAGTCTGTTTTGGTTAGCAGTCTTGCCAAACCTTGCTCCGACTTTCTCACAGTTCTCCTGGACAAACCTCACGATCTTTTTCACGTCTTCAGTCACGTTTCGCATCTTGTATTGCTGTTTTTAGGAACATTGATGGCCAATTACAAACAGCTGGCGGTAGGTTACATACA